TCTCTTCCACCTCATCCTCCTCCACTGCAGCTGGAGGCACCACCAGGGGGCTCCGTGGCCAGACAGCGTGTCCAACCACGCCCTTCGACTCCTCAGGAAGCGTCGTCTGCTCCTCGGGCACTACAGGCTTCTCCGCTCTGGCCTCCGGTGCGGCATCAGCGACTCCAGCCTCCGCTCCCGAAGACCCGGCGGCTTCCGCCGTTGCCCCGAGCACCGTCACCGACCCGTCTGCCATCGACGCCAACGTCTCACCGCCACCAAGTCCATTAGTAGCGGTGGCTGACTCCTCTGCTGACTGCCAAGCACCTGAGGACTCCAGGACAGGAGCCGCCGGCATTGCCTCCTCCTCGGGACCAGCCCCCTGCTGCTCGTCAGTTTGGATGGGCGGGGTCATATCCTCCGCACGCCTCGCACTGCATCAGATCAGCTTGTTAGTCGCCAAAAGAGATAAGGATATGACAACAAAATAACTCTAAGGCAAGGATACTTATGTGTCAGCCTACCGGTACACTTTTTTGAACCGGCGCTGCCTACCCGAGCCCCCAGTTGTGGCCTTGGGGTCGATTCTTGCACCTTGGGGTGGAGGTCTCGTGGTCTCCGCCGTCGGCCTCTCCTCCGCCCATTGATCTGGGACTCCCTTCACCTCCTACATAGGGATTCCCGTCGCCTGCTGCTCGGGGACTCCCTCCCCTCCCTTCGATTGCCCCTCTGCATGCGTGTTGTGCAGAGGCGCCTTAGTGCTTGGTGGAGGAGCCACTGGCACTTTGTCATCATCTGACCACTCAGACATCGTGGCGCTCCACGTCCGAGTGGTCCAGTCACCATCAAATGAGATGCCGCCTGGCTTGACGGGAGCGACACCCGCCGTCTTTCTCTTCTTTTGGGCCGGCTCATCTGCCGCTGCCCTCTTCCCCCAGACTTTCTCCGACTCCGGGGGGGGGTACTCTCCATTCGACCAACATCAGCGCCTTTGGATTCCAATGAGGCGCTGATGGCACCTTCCTCAGGCTACGTCGGTGGCCGGGTGTCTACTGCCTGCAGCCAATCGCCCCTTGGCATGCCCGAGAAGTACACCGATCGTTCCTACGAATGGATCTTTCCATGAGTGCATCAGCTCACTGCTCGGCAACCATAAAGGACAAAAAAGGATTAGGAACACGCAATTGATATGTTTACCTGAGGTGGTGGGTTCTTGCAGTTAAAGGGTCTCGTCATCCATGACACGTTGAACGAGGCAAATGGAGCGAATAGCTCTATGGCTCGCTCTTGCACATCGTCCCTCGACAACATCTCCGTCCTCTCCCAGGTACCGTCCGTGTCGCCCTTGAAGTTATAGCCCACATGGGCCCTCTCCTTGTAGGGCTGGATGCGGCGCACTATGAAGCTCACCGCCACCAGTCCACCATTGGTTCTCACGCCCTTTATTAAGTCAAGGAGCTCCCTCACCTGCTCCATGTTAGCACTGCTTGGCCTCTCCGACCAGCTTTTCTGGCTCTCCGAGATGTGGTCGGCGTCACAGCGGATGGCGGGGTGGCTCTGCTTCATGTAGAACCACCTGCATTCCACCCCTTCAGCGACGTGTTCAGCGGCACAGTAAGGTACTCGCCCGCCATTCCATCGCGCAGCTGAAGATACACGCCGCCGACTACCTTGGAACCACCGCCACCCTTCTTCTTCAGCCAGAATAGGTGATGAAAGAGGTTGAAGTGGGGAAGGATTCCGAGATACGCCTCACAGAAATGGATGAAGATAGATATGTACAATATGGTGTTTGGGTGGAGGTTGCATAGACTGACTCTCTAGAACTCCAACAAATCCCTCAAGAACGGATGAACAAGAAAACCTAATCCGCGCCAAAAGTAGTCCTCAAATACTATGGCTTCGTCGGTATGAGGCATTGGGTATGGCTCACTAAGGGCCGACCGCCATCCGGCGGTGACACGGTCTGGAAGAATGCTCGCCTCAACCAATCTGTTGAGCTTCGCCTCCCCCATGCGCGATGGCACCCACTCTTCGTCACGGCTGGCTCCGGCGCTCGCCTTCTTTGGGTTCACAGCTCCCCTCTTAGGCGCCATCTCTCAGATCTGAACTAGGGCTGGTGGTGGAAGCACGCGTGGATATGAATCTGGAAGTGCGAGGGCTGAGGAGGAAGATGAAATGGCAAAGTGGCAAAGGTGGGAGCGCGGGGTGCGGCGGCGCAGTTATAAAGCACTCCCCCCATCTTTTCATATTTGAGGGTTTTTGGGAAACCGCTCCCACGATTGGCGCCTCTCTGAATTCTCCACAACAGCAATGGTGGGCCATTACTTGGGCTTTCGCACAACCACGGCCCGTATCGCCCATTTATCTCCGCAATTTGTTACTGCTTGCCGAATATTCGCTGACTTCTCCGCCAACCGTTATGGCTCAGTAATTACTACTGCACAGCCATTACTCTGGTATTTTCTTCATGATTTGTTTTCTCTAAGATTTCCTCTTGTGGCTTGGTGACTACGTCAGCATTACGTCTCGGTTCCTCACCGTGTTGGGGATTTTCTTCTATTGACTGCTGTTTCTGACCCTGACACCATGTGACCACGTCACCTACTGTTAGGCTCGGGGACTAAGTGGGCACACTTCACCTTGCGGTGAATGTGCTTTTTCTCATTTCGAGGATACTCTCGAGGACTAGCTGCCTACTCAGCTGGTCTTCTGCTATTCTTCTACTTTAGACCCTGACACCACATGACTACATCATCTACTGTCAGGCTCGGGGACTAAGAGCCTGTTCGCTTGTCTGAATTCTGGAGGAATCTGGATGGTTTGGAGGAATATTGGAGGAATTTATGAGAGAAAAACACTGTTCCGGATGAAAAAATAAGCGGATCAAGCCGGGTTTAAGGGCACGCGAACGGGGCCTAAGTGGACACACTTCACCTTGTGGTGAATGTGTTTGTTTTATTCTGGAAGACTCCGCGTCTCTTGAAGCTGAAGAAGACTATCTCCCTTTCTCGTGGTCGGACTCTAAGTGAGCATACTTGGTCCATTGTGAAGAAATTTTTGATAATGAACTTGAGCCCCTAACACCCTTATGGCAAACCGTACTTGGGTTGCACTGCTCGACGATGGTTCATACTGCTCGGCGATGGCTCACGCTGCTCGGCGACGGTTCACACTGCTCGGCGATGGCTCACGCTGCTCGACGACGGTTCACACTGCTCGGAGACGGTTCATGCTGCTCGACGACGGTTCACGCTGCTCAGCGACGGTTCATGCTGCTCGGCAACTGCTTACAACTGCTCGGCAACTCATCACGGTGGTCGGACTATGAGTATTGACTGCTCGGCTTTGTTCGCACCTGCTCGGATAAGCTCAAGACGGCGTTGCACAACGGGTACAAGGCGCTCGGGGACTATCTGTGGGGGGTACGACCTCGGATACCCATGGCAGACCACATGGGCTGCGCCCCAGGGGCAGCCCAGCCCAATAGATGAAGCCTTGCGGGGCACGATGCTGCTCGGCGTCTCCCACAAGACACCGGGAAGATATCCTGAAGATACTACGAGATCAGTTAGGATACGTATGATCCCATGGTCCTGTAATCTGTTATTACTTTCCGGTTATCTTCCAGATCTAACCGATTTGTAACCCTGCCCCCGGACTATATAAGGCAGGCAGGGACCCCCTTCAAACACACGCAATATCATACGATAGCCAATACAATCCAACATACCACATGAATAGAGTATTATGTCATACTGACGGCCTGAACCTGTCTAACTCGTGTGCCTCTGTTGCCTTCTTGTTCTCGATTACATGCATCTCTGTCGATTAATATTCCTTCGTGGGATACCCCTCGGAGGACTATCGACGATATTCTGTCGACACTCAGTGTCTCCGCGCCTTCTGCTGCCTTGCATCCTTCTCAGACCGCGGAGGGGGCGCGACGGAGGTTGGTGGAGGGGGTGTGCCGGGGATGGCGGCCGAACGCAAGCGCGTGCTCTCGCCTTCTCTGTTACGCAAGCAGGATAGGATTTCCATCGAACTCCAGTTTTTGTTTTGAGAAGAATCCATTGGACTCCAATTGATGGGCAGTGATACCGCTTCCGTTGCCATCCCAAGCCCACGTATCGAGTCACGGTTGGCTGGTGGGAGCCGCGTCCGGATGCGCCGCTGGGCCAGACGTCCGAGCGCTGGTGCCTCCGAATTAATTATTACCAATTCTATTCTATTATTCTAAAATTAACGCAATTCATTATTTACTAGTTCATCTTCCATATATGTAAGTTTAGAATCCTGGTCAAACCTTACTCTTCTACAATCCATATCTTTATATTTATCTACAAATCAATGCAATTAATGATTATTATTAATATAGTTTGAACTTCTCTGGTCCAATTTTAGAATTAATCTATTGGGCACTTTTGAGTTAAGACACATTATATAGTATAAATGTTTGTCATTCCGTTTATTCTCCATCACAAATAATCACAAGTTAATTAGCCAACCACAGTTAGAGTAACACATCTAGCTAGAACGAGATGAGGGCAAATATGGTTCTGCTCCTGGCAGTTGGTTTCCTCGTGCTGGCTTCCGGTTTGTTCTCTTATCTCTACTGTAATGACCAACTAAAATTATCATAAATCTTTCCGGAAAATATCCCCGCTGAGTACTTTTAACCATTATAAAAATATATATAAAAGTTTATCTTCATTAAAATTAAAAGCTAATAAAATATCTAAATTAAATACGATGACCACGATTCAACATGAAATGCCAGGCTTGTCACGCATCACACCCCGCACGGCGACGCCGCGCCCTCGCTCCTCCCCGCGTCCTGCGCATCCGACTTCGATTCCTACTTCCGCCCATGCATTTTCCGGAAAAATAAAACCCGCCGCAATTCGTGTGCGGCGCGACCGTCGCGTACCTGATGGCGTGCCTAGGCACGGAGGCCGCCGCGCCTGCCGAGGAGGGGGCCGCCGTGCTCCCGACCCCAGTCCCCGCGCTCCTGACCGAGGATGACGTGCGCTGCCGCCGTCGTGGTCGCCGCTCCTGCCGCCGCCGCTACCGAAGCCGAGGAGGAGGCCAAGAGGAAGGAGGAAGAGGAGGAGGAGGCGGCGGCGCTGCGGCAGGAGGACTTCCGGCAGAAGGGCAAGGTGTTCGTGGGGAACCTGCCGCTGTGGGCGGGGAAGCCTGAGATCACGGAGTTCTTCCGCCAGTTCGGGCCCCTGGAGAAGGTGGAGCTGGTGCGGGGCCACGACGACCCCGAGCGCAACGTCGGCTTCTGTTTCCTCTACTACGGGGGCGACGACCCGGAGGCCGCCGCGGGGCTGGCCGTGGAGGTGGACGGGGTGGAATTCCGGGGGAAGTCGCTCACCGTGAGGCTCGACGACGGGAGGAAAGGGAGGGCCAGGGCGGAGGGGCGGGCGCGCTGGGTCGAAGCTGGGGTGGCCCGGGAGGCTCGCTCACCGTGGCACAAGGGCAGGGAGGACGCGTGCCGCGAGTTCCGGAGAGTGCTGGAGTCGCGGCCCGAGGACTGGCAGGCTGTCGTCTCTGCTTTCGAGCGGATTCCCAAGGTGGTGGCTCCTCTGATTGATCACCTCAGCATTAGCATTACCCGACCTTGTTAGTTCCTGTATAATGCCATTTATGCAATTGCAAGGTGGTGTCACATGCTGAACATGCTGAGACGGGTGAAGTTTTCCTGTCTTTGGGCTGTGATCTGCAAACCTTCCTGGGATACTAGCTCTGAAGGGTTCTTTAAAGAGCAGACTGCGCCAGCAAAACATGCTTAGAATAAGCTTTGTTAGGATGCCACCGAATAGGTCATCTGCCACCTTAGTTGTAGAGTAAATTACAATGTTAATTGGTGCCTGTTTCATGTCATTTCCAATCATTAGCTGACACCAAACCTCATCTCCAACTTGATCAGACAGCTTCAATGAACAATTCCGTTCTTCTGATCCTTATTCAAGTACAAAGCCTTTCCTTAGTTACCTTTGGAAATAAGTTGCTCCACAAGGTACTCTATGTTTTATATAAATAACATGTAACACATACCCCTTACAGTTTTAATATAAAATTTTTGCAACCTTGCCCTATGACTTGTTTGAGATTTGGAGCTGGTGATCATTTAATTTGTTTTTATCTGGACAATCATATTTTGATTTCAATACCGTTTTTTATTTGGCATCTGGTAGTCATGTTTTAACAACTTCCTAGGAAAGTTCCGTACCTCCTTTACTCAGTTCTCAGGGCTCCAAAGAGAACGGGGTGGGGTGGGGGGTGTAGGTGCAATCATTTCTAGGAATTTATGCTTAGAATATAGAATTGCCTCAGTCTTAACTTTTCTCATTTGGTGGCACTAATTATAGTCTTATTTTCTACATTGATTGTTTAGCCATCAAGGAGGGAATTTGGTCTGATGGTTGTGTATTATGCCAAGCGAGGTGATAAGCATCACGCTCGTGCAACATTTGAGAACATGAGAGCAAGAGGGATAGAGCCCAATGCGTTTGTCTTCACAAGGTAGGTGCTTTGTTACTGTTGTTTAGTAGTAATTTACTAATTTATTGTTTTCTCTTCATCACAGGGTAAAATGCACCATTGCTTCCTAAACTTGCATAGCTGGGCCAACTAAATTGACTCACTGAAAAGAAAACATCATATTATACTGCTAAACTAATCTAAGTAGGTCAACAGAGGTCTGGTACAGTACGTGTAGGTTATTTTTGCTTGTTATGTTTTGGAGCCCTGGTGCAAGTTCAGAGATCCACAGTGAACTTTACTCCTGGTAATGCCACCAAATGACCTGTATAAATTGTTATCTGAATAAATGGTAATTTTATATGTAAAGATAAAGATTACTTATGGAAAACGATCTTGCATGATGGCATCATGGGAAGCTAACCATGTGAGGAATATAGGCAGTAACCTACCAAGAAACTTTGTACCTGGTCGCTTCTATGCTTGCTTGACTATTTGAGATAAAAAAAGTTTGGCTGATAACATTATTGAGATACAGAGGGGGCTGTTCTGAAAACAGGAAGGGGGGGTGTTATCGCCGTTATCTTCTTCTTTAATTTACTAATATCATACAGATGTATGCATGTGAATGACTGGCAAACTAGCTCTAGCAATGTCTCTATGTACCTTGTCTCCTGCATTAAATTTAATTCATTTCATGCAGCCTTGTTCACGCTTATGCAGTTGCTAGAGATATGCGTGGGGCAATGTCATGCATTGAGGAAATGAAATCTGAAGGCCTCGAAATGACAGTTGTTACTTATAGTATCCTTATTGCAGGATATGGCAAAACTAACGATGCTCAGTGAGTATTTTCTTTTTTCACACTGCCTTAACCCAGATCTATGTGTTACTGAACATGCTTTCTTCCGGAATTTCAATATAGCTATAACTGCCCTTTCATATACGATACTGACTCTTATACACTGTTTTAGGCAACAGATCACGCGGCCTTTTCATTTCTAGCCTTTCTCATATGACCCTTGGCTTGTTGCTAATCAGTTCATCTTCTCTTGGAAGATCTGCAGACAAGTTGTTCAAAGAGGCTAAGACCAAGCTCGACAACCTAAATGGAATCATATATAGCAACATTATACATGCTCACTGGTTAGTGGTTGCTGGTTACCAGATTCATAAACATCGTAAACTTAAGAAAAAAATAATACAATTTATCTCTTAACAATTACTGCTTTATCTGTTTACTAATAAATCATGTCAGAGCACTCAATTGTATGCACTTTTGCAGCCAGTCTGGGAATATGGATCGAGCTGAAGAGCTGGTCCATGAAATGGAAGAGGATGGAATTGATGCTCCTATCGATGTTTATCACAGTATGATGCATGGATATACTGTCGTCCATGATGAAAACAAATGTCTAATTGTGTTTGAAAGGCTGAAGGTATATTGGGAAGGCATCTCACAACTAATAACTAATTGTCATGTGTTCCTAAGAAATAATTGTTTTTATTTTTATTATGCTCACCTTCTTAATCTATAATGTCTTTGAGGATTTTGATCTGCGGATGGAAGGGAAATGAAGTGTTATATTTGCCAGCCTGATTCAAGTTTCTCTGAATTTGCAGGAGTGTGGCTTCAAACCATCTATAATATCTTATGGTTGCCTTATTAATCTGTATGTTAAGGTTAGTTCTGCTCTTGTCTATTCTTCTCATGTATACATCACCTGCACTAGAATGCATACTACAAGCATTCCCTGCAAGGTCATTATCATGTAGTAGGTTCAAAGAAATGTGTAATGTGTGATTTAGGATTAGCTGCTAGGTGACTATATCCGACCAAAGTTATGCCCCTGTTTCACTCTTGATCGCTGACATTTTTTTGTTATTATGAGCTGCATGAAGAAGGCAACTTTTGCCGAAAAAAAGATAATGTTTATGATTTTTTTTTTCTGAAACTGGAATTAGATTCTGCTACAATTAATGATTTTGAAAAAATTGTTAGCTGGTGGCTATGAATACTTCTAGGGTAACAATTCAATTTGGTATATTTTTGCTTATTCATACCGAAAGGCTTTAAATTGATGTGCAGCAAGATCACCATCCTCCGATTTTGTTTCCCAGAATGATTAGAATGCTTAAAAATGCGTACAAGCCACGATGACAAATTTTTTGGTCTAGACAGCATTGCATGCATCTTAATGTCAGCTTTCAGAAAATGGAACCTGATTTCTTTTTATGGGATATATGGAAAGTAGTATTGTAGAATTTAGGTATCGCAAATTACCAATGTTCCTATTGAGCTTAAGCTTTGTTGGGTAATCTCAGTTAGATATGTAACTGTTGCTTGCATAATTGCAAAACAGTATAAACTAGATCTCTAGAGTAACTTGATAATTTTGTTCCTTGCTGGCATTCTGGTATGGCTGCATGTGATTGTGTGCGGCCTCTGTTAACTTAACAACCTTTTCATAGAGAATGTGTAGTTCCATTATAATAGAGATACATTTTATATATTCAATATGCTTCTAACAATCACCCTACTTCAACTAATTTCGATGTGCTTGTGTTCTCTATTTGCGTTCTTGCTGTGAATAAAAACATTTGTGGAACAGGTTGTCAAGTTTGTCTCACAACCTTTTGCCTATTTACATTTTTGCAGGGGCCAATGTGTCTGGTGGTAGGGGTTTCTATTTGAAGGATGCCTGGCAGAGTGGAGTGGCAGCGCGTCGCGGAGAAAGCCCTGTCCCGGCCATAAACCATTGTTTATAGAATAATATATAGACGGATGGTTTATGAACTTTACGACCCGTCTTAGTAGTGCTGTGAGGGCGTCTATTTTTTCTGTGTATGAAATGACTAATCTCTGCGAGACTGAATTCGTGTTTCTTTCATTAGTTGATTTATTTTTTGTTTTATGATTTATTTTTTGTAAACGTCATCATAGCGTTAGCACGGGCAATATACTATTGTGGAAAAGTTGAACTATGGAAAAAGTTCATTGTTAGGTTGTTTTATGTGCATTCCCAAGATAAAGTCGTGGCGTTAGTACGGGCATTATACTAGTATATATAGTTCATTGTTTTAGCAACTCGAATCGAGTATATAGCAGACTGAATGTTCACTACAAGACATGTGTGGTTCTTTGACATTCTATTTATGTCAAAATATATAGAATTAATGTCACAACTTAAGATTTATGACCTCCAGTTGACGAAAATTCAAACGTAAAAAAACCAGGGTCACAAATTGATTATGTGACGCTTGTAAATTTAATGTCACAAGGTTATGACATTGGATTTTAGTGTTATATAGGTTTATTTATGACTTTAGTTTGTTGTTACATAATCTTAAGCCTTGCCAAAGGGCAAATGCCACGTAGGATCAAAAGCTAACATGGCAAGGGAAAAAAACGTCACAAAATGAATTTTGGCCTGCTAAGGCCCACATAGCAAGCAGCCTCTTCATGGACCACAAGCTTGTTTTGACTGATATTGCCTGGCCCATTATTTTATTTTCGTTTTTTGGCCTATTTTTTCAGCCCACACAATTTTAGCCCATCCAATTTTTTTAGCTTGTATATTTCAGCCCATATTTTTTTTCAGCCCACATATTTCAGTCCATACATTTATTCAAATGAAATACATATACATTACATCCATCCACATATACATTACATCCATCAGATTTTTAAATGAAATACATATGCATTACATCCATTAGATTCAAATGAATCAACATCACCACATATGATTGCAATATCATAAGCATTCCACAAGTCTTAAAATGCAATACATATACCTTACATCCATCCACCAATTCAACATACATCCAGTCTCAAAGTCTCAAATTTTAACTTGTCTTCTACAAAGCACAATAATACAAAAACAAGAGCAAGACACCAAAGAAGACAAATGGACACAAGCACGAAATTATCCTGCATTGCTATCAAGTAAGTTTCAAGAATCATTACAAAGAAACATGCAACACAAAAACAACAAAGAAGACACCAAGTAGTACAATGGACACAAGCACGTAATTATCCTGCTTGCTCTCAAGTTGTAAGTTCAGTAATCACCAAAATAGCATCCTTAGCCTCGCTGACACAGATATCACCAAAATATGAGCCTAATTGAGTTGGAGGGTTGAGCATCAGGTGATGTAAACTTGGTGACAAACAAGGTACGAAGGAAACCTTGGATTTCAAGGCCTTGCTGCTTCAGCTTCTCAGTTTCTTCTTCGTTCTTCCTTGCTGCTTCTTCATTCTTCCTTGCTGCCTTTTTCTAATCCTCTAATTGCTTCTGCACATCAACCAGCTGTGATCGCAGTCCTGCTGATCCCATCTTCTCAGCTTGCAATTCACTCTCAAGCTCATTTACGCGATCATTCATTGCAGCAGCTTTGGCATTTCTCTTTATCGCTGCAGATTGCATGCCAACACTGCGAAGAAAAGTTGATTTTGGCATAACATGAGCTATAGCTTGAACAAGAGTCTTCAGATCTTGCCCTTCTTCTGTTGGTTGAGCAATATAGGCCTCCATTTGAGCCTAGCAACAATAACACCAAAAAAGTCAGATTTCAGTGCTAGTTATGTATGTCTAGAACTGATGTCTATATGGAAAGCAACATAGTGGAAGAAATGGAATGATGTCTATAGAATGGAACCTTCTATGCTAATTATCTGTGTCTAGAACATATATATGTAATGATGTCTATATGGAATAAAGATCTGTGCAAACATTTTTATTTTGTACTGATCTGTTGTGTTGTTCATCATAGTAAGAAATAGGGAAAGGTACTCACAATGGCATCCTTCGCTTTCTCATTAAAACCTGACTTGCTGCTGCAATGGGTGTCCTTAAAAATATCAATCGCAGTTGGTGGCGCATCCTTAAATTTGGTTTGCTTTTGAAATTACATACAAACAGAAAAGTAAATAACTGAAAGCATGTGAAGAGTTATTTGTAGCAGCAGCAGCATAGTAGCAGCAACATAGCTCTGAGATCAGTACAAAAGAACAGCAGACAGTAGCATTGAGCAACATACAACAGATCAGTAATAACAGTAGACATACAACAGACAGTAGCATTGAGCAACATACAACAGATCAGTAAATAACATATAGCAGACAGTATTTCCCATGCAACAAGCACCATTTCTGGACACATACAACCTCCAGTATCAACTAAAAATCACAAAAGTTTGTAAAGATGCAGTGATTTATCTTACCATGACATAGCATTGAGCAACATAGCCCCAAGATCCTGTCATCTGGTTGTACTGAACTAGCTCACGCCTATCTTTGTTTTTCAGACATTTTTCCTATACAAAGAAAACATTAGTGGACAGACAATCCATATATTATGTAAGGCAACAATTTTGATAGATATTAAGGAAGGGTACCTTGTGCTTTGGGTTAGACCACATGTCCACGAGTTGTTTCCACTGCATGTCAGTCATAGTGGACAGCGGTGAAGTTGTTCTCACTACATTTACTGGTATGCCATTGAAGTATTGCTTCTTCAGCTTGTATCTCATCTGCCGCTGTCCTTTTTTGAGCAAATCAGAAAATACATCTTTCACCGGCACAGCATCTTTGTGAATGGTGAATTGACTCTGGACAAGAGCATGCACATATCGTTAAACGTCATTCAAATGATGTTCTGGGAGTGTGCGGCAGCGGCAACGGCAGCGGTAGCAATAGCAATCAGGATAAACAAGTGTCAACTCTAGATTATGCAGCACTATATTGCAGAATAATTTGAATATAGAGATAGACAAAGTGTATGATCAACAAGAAAAAATACACAAAATGAACCAAGATCACTAAAAGAAATGACAAAGGACGAACACCAATTGAATTTCTAAGAATGCAAGAAGCCACATATCTATTTAGTAATTCATAAACCACAGAAAAATATGTTCCTAGCAGCCACACATTTTTCTTGCTGCAGCAGCAAAGCAGCTCCAGAAACTCTCTAACCAAAGATTTATAACACTGATTGATTGAATGGACCCTTTATAAGCACTGTTTGTTCTAAAAATGCAAGCAGACACATACAATTATTTTGTGCACGGACTGTTATGCTCTTTTGTGAATTTATAAGCACTGATGTTGCAACTAAGACTCAGATTTAGACTAAAACTATGGTACTAAAAATTTAAAAAATACTAAAGCTTACACCACTTATTGTATAGTTGTAATCCATAAACCATAGAAAAATAGGTATCTATTTAGCAGCCAGGTTACTTACACTAAGTTTATCATTGTAGTTTTTAACAAGAGGTTTGGCAACGTCCTCCTTATAATACTTCCAGTGAGTGAAGATTGGGACATGGTCCCGTAGAATAATACCAGCCTTTGATGCTAGTTTTGCAGCTTGCAAAGGCTCCTCTGGCCGCAACTTTCCTTCAGAGATGTTCACTGGGATCTTGTCTCTTAACCCTCTTGAAATCATATCCAAATCTCTGCCTAGGTGTCTTTTGGTGATACATCGACCTATCATGGAATTTGGAAAACAATTAGAGGAAATCATAGACCCATTAATGCAAATAAATAAATCATTAATAGTGGAGAGAGGGTACAATCACTTGCCTTCAGTAGAAGGCTCATTCTGGTTGTTGGACTGGGTATTATCATTGGTAGCCATCAGTGCATCTTCTGTGGAACTAACTTGTGGGTCTGCTGTTGGAACTTCATCAGCTGAGGCCAATTCCCTTGTCCTCTGCCTAGTAATTCTTGCTGGTTCGTCTTGCCCCTGAAGTGCCACTGCCATCGCTCTCTTTGATGTTCTTGCCGAACTCTTCCTAACTTCAGG